GATACATCTAGTACTATTACATTTCTGGATCTTACTTCATTTTCTAGGGATCCCAGTTGTCAGTTTAAAGCAGTTTTTTTTTTAGTCTTCCTATGTTGATTTGATTTGTAGTTTGTTTGGTCTTGCTGTTAACAATCCTACATTTTCTCCATTGTTTCTTTCATATCTGCTTCTAATTGAGTGAGTTTTGCAAAGAATCTCTCAATTTTATTTTTCAGAGAAGATAGGGCAACAGAAAATATATTTTTTGAATTTAATTATGCTCATCAATCCTTGAACAGAAAATTCCTCTAAGTATCAGCAGATGGTGCTGTAGGGAGGCCCTAGCTTTCAGGGAGCCCATCTTATTGTGCTTGTTTATTAGGTGTGTTTGCTATCACCAGAATCGGCACTTTTTATATTGTGATGACATTTTTGTAAGTTTTCATTCAGTAAGCAATAATAAACAAAGACCTTACAATGGATAAATTAGCAGAAGATCTTTTAGGATGTCTCTGCTTGTCTATCGGCTTATATGGCCCTCATCTATGTCATAAGCATGTGATTACTTTTCAGTTAAATGCATTTTATGGTCACACTGTACATATGAACCAGGGAGGAGTAGTTATCTCCATATCACAGATAGACATTTCTCATTCTGAAATTTTTGTGAATTGCATTGCAATTGGTAAGGTGGGCTGTGGATTAAAAAATTATGAGAATTACTGCAATAGATGCTTCCTATCCTTTTGTAGTTCTCTGCTCAGACTTCAGTTTCTGAAATAAGATATTTACTACACCATAACTACAGGATGGGTGGTGGTCCAGTGGCTGGCATAGCATCTGAATGGGACCTGGGGTTCACAACTGACTGCAAGATGAACATGAGCCAACAGTGCAATGAAGTCGCCACCAGGACAAATGGAACTCTGGTGTACATCAGCCAACGTGTTGCCAGTAGATCCATGGAGGTGCGTCTCCCTCTGTACTAGGCATTGGTGAGGCTGCAGCTGGAGTACTGTGTCCAGTTCTAGACACCACACTTCAGGAAGGATGTGGATAAGCTTGAGAGGGTACAGAGAAGGGCCACCCATATGATTATGGGCTTGGAGGATAAGCTTTATGAGGAGAGACTCCGGGAACTGGGTCTGTTCAGTCTGAGTAAGAGAAGACCGAGAGGTGACTTGATAGCCACCTGCAAGTATGTCAGGGGTGAGCACCAAGATCTAGGGGAACAACCCTTCAGGAAGGCACCCCTTGGGAGGACAAGGACCAATGGGCACAAGCTAATAGAGGGAAAATTTAGGCTAGACATAAGAAATTACTAATTTTCCGTAAGGGTAACTAGAATCTGGAACACACTTTCAGCAGAGGTGGTGCAGTCGCCATCCTTGGAGGTGTTCAAGATGAGACTGGATAAGCATCTTGTTGAGCTCATTTGAGCCCAATAACCTCCTGCCTATGGCAGGGGACTGGACTTTATGGTCTTGAAGGTCCCTTCTGGTCCATTGATTCTATGATTCTAAGTATAAAATATATGGTAGTGTCCATTAAATGCAGTCCCCATCAGTGCCCACTCTTTTTTCAAGCCATGGTGAGTCATATGCATGACTTATATGCATTGACTTCCTCTTCACTCCCACAGCTGAGCTGCACCTTCCTTTCCCATTTCCAGTGATTCCTGTTTCTTTACCAGCCTTATATGTCTGGGAAACATCACCAAGTGGTTTGCCCAAAATCCTTTTATCGCCCCCTCTCTGTCTGTCTTATGTAATTAGTGTGCCCTGGCCATCCACAAAGTGGAGCTGGAATAGGTTACCCAAAATGCCTCAACCGTATATACATTTTTGGAGGAACTGAGGACTCATGACAAGAACACCTGGTTCCAGTTATGAGTAGGGGGCTAATTTGCACATGGATCCTTTGTGGCTGGATATGTGGAATACACACACATACGGAGCAGCACTAAGCTATGGGGTCACCATGGCTTTAAATGCTGTTGACACTGCTGGAGCACAGCCCAGTGAATGATATGGTAAATCATGAGCCTTTTGGCTTTGGATTAATATCAAGCATAGTTTGTGCTATATATATGTGAAGGTGCCCAAGTGCTGCTTAAAAGTGTGTTGATGGTACCTGTGCTAAAACTTGCAGCAGTTTCAAAAAAGGTAGCATGTATCAATTCTGGATAAGCTAAGTCTGTGAGTACTGATTGCAAATTACTACAGCCATGTTTAATTTCAAGGTATAGTGTTTTCAAGTTTGCTCCTCACTTCCATATGCTTACAGAGAGTAGGGTGTGACAGAAAGAAGAGGGGGCAGGGGCTGCAGGGGGAAGAAGTTGGGTGGAGGCAGAGGGGAAGGTGGCTAACTTACACTCCCAATTTATTTTCCCTCCTGTGTCAATGGGAGGGGGATAAATTCAAGGCAAACCTCCAATAATTATATTGTACACCTCAAAAATTATAACTAACTAGCCAATTGCCCATCAAGAATGATGGGGGAGTGGATGGAGATGGAGCACTGTGTTCCCCGCACCGTCCAGGCCTGCTCCCCCCTTCCCTCCTGCCACTTGGGGTCCAGGCCTGCTCCCCCCTCCCCTGCTGCGGCAGGGGAGGAGCGGGCCCAGGCCTGATGCTGGAGTGTGGGGGGGACTGGGCCCAAGGTTCAGGAGAAGTCAGCCCACTGCTGCGGTGATGGGGGAGCAGTGGGCTCAGGCCAACGTGGCAGTGGTGGGGGATAGGAAGAGCAGACTTGGGGCCAACATGCAGGAGGAAGGAAGGGGAAGGAGTAGGCCCGGGCCCGAGGTGGGGAGGAGGCCTGCTCTTCCCCTCCCACCACTGGTGCCTCATTGGGCTGGGCCCAGTGCACCCCCCCGACCATGGCAGGTCCACTCCCCACCCCACTTGGGCCTGTTCCCCCCCGCTGGCATTGGGTCCAGGTCCACTCCTTTCCTCCTCCACCACTGCTGCTGTGTTGGCCTGGGCCCCCTCTTTCCACCCCCACCGCCATGGTGTGCCTGTTCCTCCCCCACCCGTGTCGGGCCCGCTCCTCCCCCTACTGCTGCCATGTTGGCCCTGCAGGCAGCGACGACAGAAGGAGGGAGGGGTGGCCCAAGGCCAGTGCCGGTGGCCTTGCCCCCCCCTCCGTCGTGTCCTGACCCTGTTATCCTCCCACACTGCCGCCACAACCTCCATGGAGCAAGGAGGGGGGGGTGAAGCCAGCTCCAGTGACCTCTTTCCCCACACCGCTCCATCATTGTCACCCCCAGGGAGCAGGGTGGGGGGGTGAGGCCAGCTGTGCTTTTTGACCCCTGCATATCCAGGGGTCCCAAGACCCCAGGTAAGGCTGCTGGGGTCAGCACAGTACTGGCGTCAGCCTCCCCTACCACTCCGGAGTAACTTGCTGTGTGCCAAAGCACGTGGCACAGGCTTTCCCCAGGGACAAGTGGCTGTGGCGCAAGGTGCACCACTGCTACTTGTCCCCATGGAACCAAATGTCCGTGCTCTTCTGTATATGGCTTAGGAGTCTTAAAGTTATGCCATTTTGGGCAAGAATTATCTTTGAGCTATGCTATTTAGCTTGAGTTAAGTTAAATTCTGGCTGTTCATTTGAGAGAAAACCACAGATTTGTGATCTTCCAGTATCTTTGTGGGACTCCACATATGATGATTCAGTGGAGCCTCTGTTATTGGTGCAAAATTCCAGGAAGAATTAAGACCATTGTAATGCATCACATTGGATGTCTGTCACTTCCTTCAGGTCAGACACTAAAGTAGTTTGACTTCCCCATCCTTGTCTGAATCCAGCTGGAGCCAGGTCCAGAATATTAACTTCAGTTAGATGAGCTTGTATCTGACTTTTGGATTGATTATGAGCTTACTCAAGAACGAGTCTTGCTACAGGGTGTAGTGGACTACAAAACCAGTTACTGGGGAGTAACTAATTGATGAAAGACTGGAAGGAAGAGCTTAATCTAAGACTAGTAAGTGGCTCTAAGGACTCAGTGGTATAACAAAGATATTGTAGTAAACAGAGATGAATATCAAAGAAGCAACCATAGCAAACTTCAGTTTTCAAGCAATGAATTCCTTTCTTAAAAATGATGCATACATTTAATGGAAGTTGCACCTGGGGAGTTTGTGTTAGTACAGAATGTTTTCTTTTAGTATCCATTTGCCTTTAATATTTTCTTTTCATTTCATTTCATTATAATTTGTCTTGTTTTTATTGTAAGCAGCCCTGAATCTTTTTTGGGAGGGTAGTGTGGAAATCTAATAAATGTTTATCTTAAGGACTTTGGCATGCAAGTATTGTACAATAAAAGATGATTTCACAAACAGAGGGCAAAATAATTAACCAAAGTACTTGTTGTCTATGTTCACGTCTCACCATTTATTTTTAAATTCTCAGGAATGTAAATAGATAGGTGTTGTTTCAGTCAGTGAAGGAGAAAAGAACATGATGAGCAGACGACTTACTCTGTTTTCTTCATTGTTTCTAGAGTCAATAAAAAGTTTATAGGATCTTTGTAATAGGATGGTAGACTGGAATGTGCCCTGTTTGTTCTAAACTCTTTTGAATCTCTGAGAAGAGCCCCATTGAACAATTGTGTGCTGTAATTTTGGTGTGACCACTATGGAATATTTTACCAGGGGATCCTTTGCATCTCCATATATACCTTAGGTGGTACCCCTTCTTCTTGTTTTTCAATCTCACTTAAAAGCATTAGTTGGTGCAAGTGGCAAAGCTAGGTCTCAAATTACTAAATATGCACATGGATATTTCTTTGCATCTAAAAAATAAGAAACCATATTTAAAAGTTTTCCAAAATTACTATAGCTACCCTTTAACTTGAATCCTTAATAGAAGCAGTGTAGACTCTTTACACTGTTCTATTCTAATGGTTATTGGGTAGATAGAGCCATGGGGGATGGTTTATTGACAGAGAAAAGAGGTTCCTGTATCTCTTACAGGTTTTTAACATAATTTCAATAACAGATATTGGATTTTCATTTCAGGCTCAGCAATCGGTTCTGACTTCTAAGCATTCAGTACCTGAAATCCCGGAAGCTGTGGATGACTTTCTTTGCAATTTCCTAATCAGAATGGGGATGGCTAGAACCCTTGACTGCTTCCAAACTGAAAGGTAACATTTTTTAAATGTCCATCTTTCTTTGATGTCCCTAAACCAGTCAGCTGCTCCTCCATATATTACAGTTAGAGGACAGTCCTTGGAGAATTTTGAGTATTTGCCTTACCTGGGTAGCCACCTTCCCCAAAAAGTAAACATAGACTATAATATTCATCATTGGATAAAATCTTCCAGTGTTGCGTTTGGATATCTCTGAAATCATGTCTTTGTTGATCATGACATCAGCACCCAAATCAAACTTCTTGTCTACCAGGCTGTCTTCTGTCGTATGGTTGTGAAACTTGGATGACATATCCAAAGCATCTGTAAGCTTAGGAACATTACCACCCCTATCAGCAGTGTCAAGGGGTGCACTGATAAAGATCTTTTTGGCCAATACCAATGTCTGATTATTAACCAGTCATATCAGCCAATACCTATCCGATAGCCAATAAGCAGCTCAGCAGCTTGGAGAGCAGTGTCCGACCCGTCAGTCTGTGGAGGGGAAGGGGCATGGGGCAGGGAAGGAAAGAGCGTGGTGGGGCAGATCGAGGCCCCCATGGTAAGGGAGGGAGTGGGACAGAGGCAGGCAGTGCCCAGCCTGGGGTAAGGCAGGGCACAGGACGGAGCTGTGGACATCTTGTCCGGGGGACGTGGGGAAGGTGGGCAGCTCCCCACCATTGTGTGCACCTCCTAGGGAGGCATGGGGGGCAGGTACCTCCTGGATTTGTGTGCAGAGCAAGGGCAAGCTGCCTGCTGCAGGCTCAGGGCTGTGGGCTGTGCCAGCCTCTTGATGGGGGTGCTCTGGGCTGGCACTGCACTCAGGGTGGACAGTGGTGCTGGGAGGGCGGGGCTGTGGGGTGGCTACGGAGAATTTTGAGATGGCTGTAGCCCACCCCGTGGCCCCCCTCCTAGCACTGCCACCCTCCTCCCTATCTGCCCGTGCCCCCGAGATGAACCACTCGTGGCTCTGTCCTGCTCCCCACCCCACTCCATCTGGATAGCGCCTGCCCTTGCCCCAGCCCCACTCCCTGCCTCACCATGGGGACCTTGATCTGCCTCCTGCCATGCCCCTTCTCTCCCTTGTGCACCTTCCCCCCAGACTTACTGGTCAGATGCTGGACTCCAAGCTGCTGGGCTGCATTTCTGGCCACGTGCATGTTGCAGCTGTGCACATGCATGTGGCATTTATTGGTGACATTATTGGCTACACTGGCCAAAGAAAGCCAATTGCCAATAATGTCAAGTTTCCTTTATCGGTGCTGATCTGATATGGACCGATATATCAGTGCACCTTTAGCAATGTCTTTGGAAAATTATCCATATCAGTTGGAAAGACAGAAAAATGAATGCGAGCATCCTGGCTTAAGCAGATACTATCAGCATTGAAGCCAGCTCTGTTGAACAGGAGATGTCATAAGACTGCCTGACAACTGGCTTCCAAAACAGGTCCTATACTCTCAGTTCACCAGTGGTCACTGCTGTTGATGTAGGCAACCTGAGAAAAACATGATATTAAAATCAGTACTTGGGAGACTGAAGCACCGAATTGTCTCCACTGGCACAATGATATATAACAAGGCATTGATCGTTTTGAGCAAATTTGCCTCACTGGGGATTAGGGATATAAATATTGTTTTAAAATGATTTGTTTATCCTCCTCTAATTATATTAGTTTAATGGTTAACCGATAACACAGCTGCTAGGACACAGCTGCTCCTGTGAGCCACAAGCCAGCCAGACAAGAGAGCCCATGTGAAGCCCTGTGCAGCAGGGAGGAAGGGAGCACCTATGAACAAGCAGCTAATTGCTTGATTGATGAGTCATTAGGCTACTTGCTGTTTTCCTCTTAGGCTATGGGTACTAGTCCCCCTCCCTTCCTTCTTGTTCCTTCCTCCTCTCTCCTTCCCTTCCTCCTGTTTGCCCTGCTGCCTTCCAGTTCCTGCTGGGGCACTGTAGGGCTTCCCTTCCTTGCCAGACTGTGTCTTGTCCTGTGCTAAACAATAACTGGGAAGCTAACTGGTTATCACTGGGCTTATTATGATTAATCATTTAGCCTTGTACATCCTCTGAGGGAGGCAGGTAGACTAGAGCAGGGGTCGGAAACCCCTGGCACGCGTGCCAAGCGTGGCACGCGAGGCCATTTTGCTTGGCATGCCGTGGCCAGCCCCCGCTCCGGGTAGCTGCTGCCAGCGACAGAGCCCCGGCTGCTCCCAGCAGGGCTTGCAGCATCCCAGTTGCCTGCTGGGAGCAGCCTGGAATCCGGTGGGCCACCGGCGCGTCAGAGCGGGGGGTGGCTGCAGCCGGGAGGCTCCAAACAGCTGTGCCAAGCTCTGGCATCAGCTCTGCACTGGCACATGCAGGCGTGCCTCAGAGTGGGCAGTGGGGGAGGGGCCTGAGGCAGCACAGCCCTGGTCTCTCCCCCACTCCTAGCATGGAGGTGATGAGCCTGGCGCAGCTGTTTGTAGCCAGCCCGGGCTCTGGGCACCTGCAGCAATCAGTGGGGAGAGTGCAAACAGCTGCACCGGGCTCACAGCTCTGGTATCATCTCGGAGCATGGAGTACCACCAGCACGGAGCTGATACCGGAGCTGTGCAGCCCGGCGCAGCAGTTTGCACTCTGCCCACTGCTTGCTGCAACTACCCAGAGTCCAGGCTGGCTCCAAACAGCTGTGGCTCATCACCTCCGTGCTGGGAGCAGGGGAGAGACTGGGGATGCACTGCCTCAGGCCCCTCCCCCCACCCGCTCTGAGGCACACCTGCACGGGCCAATTCGGAGCTGATGCCAGAGCCCGGCACAGCTGTTTGGAGCCTCCCGGCTGCAGCTGGCCCTGGCTCTGGGGAGCTGCTGCCAGCCAGGATCCCGGGCTGCTCCCAGCAGGCAGCTGGGATGCTGCAAGCCCTGCTGGGAGCAGCCCAGGCTCCAGAAGCAACCCAGAGCTGGGGGTAGCTGCTGGCAGCCACAGAGCCCAGGCTGGGGAGCAAGGAGCAGTAGGAATGGAGGGCAGGGGCTTTGGGTGGGGGGCAAGGGGAACAAGCAGGGCATCCTGCCATGTACCCCTTGCCCTCATTTTGTTTTTCTGCCATGCCGGCACTCTGGCAACTTCTGAGGTAGGCATTGTGGTGTTTTTAGCCACTCTGGAAAAAAACATTTCCTATCCCTGGACTAGAGAGACAAAGAGAAAGAGCTATGACTTGATATCACCAGGAACTATTCCTTCCTTCTGGAACTATTTGCCACGTCTGCAGTCAAGCATGCAAAATTTGGATTGGCCTCCTCAGGCATCTACGTACTCACCAGTAACTTCCCTGTTTGCTTGAAGATTGTCATCTTCATATTGAGGGACTGTTGCTGTCACTGGCTGTCTTTGAGGACTGAAATAAATTTAGAGGGTGTACTCTTAAACATTGTTCAAACTTGCTTTGAGAAAATGACTCATCAGAAAAATAAATCTAATTCTTGAGGGTGGAAATAACAGCTAAAAGCAGATTGAAAATAGAAACTATCATATTAGATCCAAGTTTTCCAAACAGTTAAAATCTTTTCAGTGGGGATCAACTGTATTCATGGCAGAAGTAGAGTGTGTGGCTGCTCCTTTAATCTTGCATGTTCCCCCATGCACACCTCGCTCCTTGCTTCTCCCCCCTCTGATTAGTGGAGAACCCTGCCACTCCCTCCTGGTCTGCAGGGAAGCTAAAATCATGGTTTTAAATATGGCACCATTTTTGCCTCCAAGCCAGTCAGCAGAAAAACAGGGCCATCCACGGCCCTTCAGACAATCAGCAGCAGGAGGCAAAAATGGCACCATATTTAAAATGGCAGTTTTTAACTCCCTGTTGATTAGGAGCAAGCCACAAGCAGGACCTGTCCACCTATCAGTGGGGGATAGGGGCACAGGAGAACCTGCAAGATTAAAGGAGCCACAGTGCACTCCACTTCCACCATGAATTTGGTAGGTCCCTACTTAGCTCCCCTTTTTGCCCTGAAGAGAAGAGACCAGAATTCCAAAAGTGCCAGAAATGGCATGCTTCCATTGTTCTAATTTTTGAAAATCAAGATACTTATTTCAGTGCTGAGTATATATGAAAACAGTTGAAGTTTCCTTGTCTAGATGTTTTCAGTAATGTGTCATTGAATTGTTACCTCAGATGTTGTGTCTGAATGATAACAATTTGTAGTACTTTTATTACTTAGAAAATTATCACTAATTTTGTATTTCATGGAATCGTATGAAAGTAGGGGGGGAAAGGGAATTCTGGGCTAGGGACAGACATTCAAAAACCCTGAATCATTTTAATCTTTGCAGGTTAATCTAACCTGGTTAGGCTGAACCAGTTTGTAATGATCCAGACATCCCCTCCGGCTTGAAGAAATGCAGGCACATGCCTACCTCAGGCTAGAAGCTGGGGAGTGCTAGAGCAGCCCTGCCTTCTCTTTCACAGAGCTGACCTGAGGAGGGGCGTGGCCAGGCCACAGCAAGATGTTTTGATTAGGGAGGGGTCCCCCCCCTTCGCTGCTCTTGACTACCCCAGCAGGAGCATTTATTAGCGCATCAAGAAAACAAAAGCCTCTCTTGTGAGTTCAAGTTCTTCTTAAACAACTTTTTCCAAGGAAATAACAGAGGGACATTACCAGGTACCTGTTGATTAGCTTCAAAAAGCCCTAAGTGGACATTGTCCTGTCTGCCTTTGTTCTGTGTGCCTTATTAGACACCTCTCAGCATTAGCCAGCATACCTCATGCTGGCTACCATCTGTGATGTGGGAGCGGGGAGGGGTATCCCTGCTTGAACAGAGATTAGTGGTGGGGGGCGGTACGAGGAAGCCAGGTAACCGCTGCTGTGCCTGCTGCCTCTGCCAGAGCTCCAGCCAGGGAGCAGAGGGGAGGGGCCAGCTCAGGTCTCTGGAGCAGAGAGCCCTGCCCATGGCTGCCAAGCATCTGGGATGCCGGGGGACTCTGGTTTAAGTTAAAGGGATCTGGGACAGACATTGCATAAACCGGTTTGACCCAAATCAG